CGCAATTACCAGGGAGAACAAAAGTTAACCACTGAAGACAGCCTTAGACCCTTACAGGCCTCGAGATGACACCAGAGGAATCTACATTAACAAGTTTTACTAACTAGCTTTTATCTGCCATTTATTTGCCGTCCCCCAAGTTATCACCCCTAGAGACTCAAAGTCTTTTTCCTTTGTCTTGTTACTTCTCTAAAAATTCATTGTTCTTTGCTGAAGATGCTGTATAAGTTGTAATTCAAAGCTACCTCTTTGAGAACTATTCCTTGGGTGTCTCCCATGTGCGTATGAAATATACATGGTAATACACTCTGTTTTTTACTTGTTAATCTTTCTCTTGTTACAGGGGTCTGTTCCAACTAAGAACCCATGGGCTGAAGGGAAAATTATTTTCTTTCTTCCTCTGAATGGTCAGTTGGTCCTTTAAAACTGTACATCAGGGTACCTCTCTTCCCTGTTTAAAACCCAAACTTCTTACTCTGACTTATAAAGCCTGTCTCTGTCTCTCTCTCTCTCCCCCTCCGCCTCATATTCCACTACTCTTTTGGCTTCCAGTATGCTTCTTGCCATAACCCTCAACACCCCCAGCTCATTTCTCACTTGAGAGCTATTTCTGGCCCCTCTGCAAGGAAAGCTCTTCCCTTATTTTTGTGTATCTGGCTCCTTTTACCATTTCAATCTTGTTTACACTTCACCTTCTCCAAGAGGCCTCCTGTATGACTAATCAAAGGGGTCACCAAGCCACATCTATTTTAATTCTCTGCAAACCACTCACCACTATCTGATAATTCTCTTGGTTTATTCATTTATTAGTTAGTTTGTTGTCTTTCTCTGTTCATTAGAATGTAAGCTGTACCATGACAAGGAGCCTTATCTGTTTTAACACCTGTATCTCTAACACCCAAAACAGTACCTGACATAGAACACACAGTCATTGAATATGTGTTGAACAAATAAAAAGAATATGTATTCCATAATCGAATTTTTATTAAAAGAGATACTATCTATGGCTATTTATTTTTGTTGTAGAAGCAAAGGGAAAAGTATGGAAACATACCAAATGGTAAACATTAACTTTTTCGAGGAGGTGGGGAAAGGAAAATGAAATTTTCTTCTAATTAGTTTAATTAGTAACAATTAGCATGTGTTGCTTTTGGAATTAAAAAATAATTCATTAAATAAAACTGTGAAGAGAATAAATATTCCTTCAGCTGGGAAGACAAATTTTAAAGCTATATCTATGTCTATATTTATCTATCTAATGTCTATCTGTCCATCTATTTACCTTTTGACAACTATAGAAGCAGAACAATATTACAGCTATGTTGTTGTACTAGTAATTTCTCCATTAACAGATGAGTAACTATTTAAAGATGAAAGATATTGAAGAGTTTTGAAACCATAAAAAAAAGAGTATAACTCAGTCATAAAAAAGAGAATTTTTTAATAAATTCTGAAATGCCGAATGAGGACAAAACTATTTATCTAGAAACCTTATGCAATTTTTTTTTTTTCCTTTTTGTCTTTTTCCGTGTCTGGCAACGGATCGCAACCCTCAGTGTTGCCCCCGTACCGGACCGGGACCGGCAACGGGATCGCAACCCTCGGCGTCGCTCCCACGCCTCGCTCAGCCAGTGAGCGGGAACCAGCCTGTATGTGGGATCTGAACCCTCGGCGGGAGCGCCGCCACGCTTCTCAAGCGGCGCACTATAGCAGTGCGCCACCG